TCTCTCCTTTTTTAATATTTTAATTAATACCGTCTGCTTATAATTTTTTAGTTTGTAGTCATTACATTGCATGTGGCAAATTTAACCCCTGTAGTGAATTCAAGGTATTCATTGGATCGGGTCACGAGGGGATGAGTTGGCTTCGGAATTTTTTCCACTTCCATACGTAAGCTGACCATATTTAACTAACTTCTCTACCAACATAAATTTCCTACTAAATAACAATTAAACAAGCTAAGATATTTGACTAATTTCCCATATACAGAAAAAGACGTTTGGCTAGTTCAATTTAGTAAATATGATGACAAGAAAGTAGCTTATTGGAGTCTCATACACATAATAATAATTTTACATATTTATCTGAATAAAGTCCTGATATGATATTAAATTCGTTTCGACAGAGATCGAGGTGGAAGAAAATTGAAGCAAAACTCACCATCAAACTTTGATTTAGAAAAACATAATATTGGATCCTGTCGATGATTCGATCCTTCTATATTGAAAGAACAGGTTAAGAAATCAACCGTTGGTCAAAATTTGATGTTCATATTATTGAACTTACAACCCCAACTATTTTCAAAAAAAATTGTGGAGACATAATACTTCCACTTATTTTCTAAATCTTTGATATGAAAATATAACTCTAATGAATTACATGATAACACTCTATAATACAATATTACTAGTAACACACTACCACACATATTCTAATAACATATTAATTTATATATATGATTATCAAATTCATTTTTCTTTAAATATATAGGTCAGAGAAAGACAGGAGGTGGGCGCTATACAAGTACATAGTGACTGTTGTAAACGTGATCATATTCTTATAAGAAATCAACTAAAGGAGGTTTCCGAGAACTCTGCAATCCTTATTGTATAATAAATAAACTAAGGGTGGTTTCCTAGAACTCTGATTGAGGCTCTTGTTGGCTAGCTATTTAAGCAACAGACTCACCAGCTTTGATTCACAACCCACTGCATACAAGCTTTCCTACAAAAATAAACAAAAACACTCCCTTATATATCAACCTTCGGTTTCACAAATTAAGTAGCAATTCCGCAAAACCCAGTTCGAGATCATCATCATCATCATGTCGGCTATTGTGGGAAACCAAAAGGCTGCCGGCATCGATCGGGACTCAGCAAGCTTCCCTCTCACACAGTGGGGCGACCGCTTTCTCGACGACGAAGAACACCAGCAGCAGGGGCCACTGCCAGTGCTTGAAAGCGAGTACGAGGTGCTCAAGGAAGAGGTGCGGAAGATGTTGACAGCCGAGGATGATGGCAAGCCGTCCGCCATTGCCCAGAAGCTGCGGGTGATAGATGCAGTCCAACGATTGGGCATTGGCTATCACTTCGAGACAGAGATTGAAGAAGCACTTGAAAAAGTGCATGCTCTTGGAGACGAACTATTCGTCATCCATGATCACGACGATAACGCCACTACCCATGATCTCTACAATGCTGCTCTTCGATTTCGACTTCTCAGACAACAAGGCCTTCGAGTTTCTCCAGGTATATATAGCACTATTCATGATTACTTGTTGTATCATATAATTATAAATAATCGTTTCATTATTGAATTGGTAATTAAATAAAAGTTTATAACTTCTAACTTGGTGCACCTGAATCAACAGATGGGTTTAGAAACTTGAAGGACGGTGAAGGAAATTTCAAGGGATGGTTGGCCTCCGATGAGCAAGGGCTCTTGAGCTTGTATGAAGCAGCACATGTGGCAATCCATGGAGAAGGCATATTGGATGAAGCACTGAGCTTTGCTACCAAGACCCTCAAGTCCATTCTTCCCCAACTCAGCCCTTCATTCCACAAACAAGTAAAGTTCGCTCTCGGTCTCCCTTCGTGGAAATGTGTCCCTCGGTCGCTTACTAGGAACTACATCGATTTTTACTCCGAAGATGCCTCCCACAATCACAAACTACTTCGATTTGCAAAGTTGGATTTCAACTTGCTCCAAAAGTTGCATCGACAAGAGCTCCATGAAATTTCTGAGTGAGTAGGCAACTTCAATTTCTAAACAATTAATTTTTGTGTGTGTTTGGTATATTTAAATCTACTAGTCATTACACAGCTCTTAATTAATTGATGATTTGCTAATTAGGTGGTGGAAAAGTTTGAATGTGACTACCAACTTCCCACATGCAAGAGACAGAGTTGTGGAATGCTATTACTGGATTTATGCCGTGTACTTTGAACCCAAGTATCAGTTGGCCAGAGTTATGTGCACCAAGATCATATCAATGCTTTCACTCTTAGATGACACTTGCGATAATTATGCTACATTTGAAGAGGTCAAGATGCTCACAGAAGCTATTGAAAGGTTAATTTCTTTCTTCAAATATCAATTTTAAATTTTGTAATTTATCCAAATTGAATAAGCTAATTAACTCCTAGTTATGCTAAACCAATATAGTTTACCTATGATAATTAGATTAGCCAACCTTTTTCCTTAATAAATTATTCTATGCTCATTTCAGCTTCCATGTAAGCGCTCTGGAAGCACTACCAGAGACGATGAAAAATTTGTACCGTATCATCATCGATCTATACGACGAAATTGAAATGGAACTTGCAAAAACAGGACCCACTTTTGCGGTCGACTATGCTAAAGAAGAGGTAATGAACTAGTCATGATTACTCTGATATGTACATATATAGTAAGTTTCCTTTTATCACTTTCTAAATTTCAAGATGGACAACATTATTAATTAGTTGGTTTGCATATTATTTATCAGCTCAAGAAAATATGCCGAGCCCACTTGGCAGAGGTTCAGTGGCGTACCAAAGACCATGTTCCAACACTAGAGGAGTATAAGATTGATGCATATGTAACAAGTGGGTTTCCCATCCTTTGCACATCAGCTTTCGTTGGAATGGGAGCTGAAATAGCCACCAGGGAGGCCTTTGAATGGGTCACCAATGAGCCTAAGATGGTCAGAGCTGCTTCAGTCATTTCTAGGATTCAAAACGATATCGTCTCTCACAAGGTAACCATTAATTATTCAACTATTGATTAATTTTTGTTTACCAATATTTGACACTATCAAATGATAATTGTTGATGGTTGATGTGTTGCCTCAGTGGGAGCGAGAGAGAAGTCATGCTGCTTCAGCAATAGAATGCTACATGAAGGAGCACGGGGCATCGGAGGAGGAAGCCGTTGAATTTTGTTGGGAGGAGATTTCTAGAGCTTGGAAGGACATTGCAGAAGAGTGTCAGAAACCAACACCATTGCCAGTAGCCTTAACAGATCGTGTCCTTAACTTTGCACGTTCCATTAGTGTGATATATGAGAATGGTGATGGCTACACTCATTCTCACCTTTTGAAAGCACACATTGCTTCACTTTTCACCGATCCTGTACCTCTATGAATAACGTCATGAATAAAGTAATTATGATCCACAAGAATCATATGTATTATTGTACTAGTCATTCCTATTGAGTTTGGTTGTCAAAAAATAGTGATTTGGAGAACAAATGTATTTGTGGGTTTGGATCTCAATAAGAATTACATTTTCCTTTCATATGGGAAACCTCATATTTTCTAATATTTTTAATACTTTTTTGTCATAGAATTGAAAGGGTCGAGAACTGAATCATTGATCTTTTTGTTTAAGTATGACTTGATGTTATGATTCTTACGCTGGTTCTCATTTTTTAAAGGCACGCATCACTTCGTTGTTCACTAATCCTGTAGCTCTTATAGAACATTAGTCATGAAAAAAATAATTCCAATCCACAAAATGTATTTAGTCTTATCATAATTTCTTCAATCCACATGTGACAACCTAAAACAAATGTGTATGCTACTTTTATCTTGAACAATTACATTGTTCTTTGCACATAGGGAGTCTAATCTTCTCAACGATTAATTGCTCAATTTTATTTATTGCACGGGTGGAGATCAAACCTCTTAATTTTCTATAACTCAAGAAATAGCGTTATCCCATAAAAATCACAGGTTAGAAAGAAAACTATATATGTTGTCGATGTGCATTAATCCTGGTTGTTGAGCTTCCTGACCCTCATCCGCAAGCATCATCAAGAGAGGTATTTAGGTTATCATTTAGATATTTCATTTGCCCTGAATAGAAGCCTTCCACGACTATGTTAGAAAACCAATCTATAGAACAGGAATGAAGTGCGCCTATTACCATTCTCACTAGTTGTTCACCAATCAACTTTGGACAACCTGCCATTTGATGGTCTTTTGAAGAAGGTATCGTTATATCAAGAATAAAATTTTAGAATCAATTGATTCTTAACATAGAGCATTTGATGGAGAGATTTTGTGTTAGAATTCTAACGATCCCAAATATAAATTGTTTATTTGAAGAAATTGCATGGTTGGACTGTGTAAATTCAAATTCCTAATTACTCGTAAACTTCATTTAAGAAAACATATAAAGATGTGGTATAATAGTCATACTTTTGGATTTCTCTCAGCTTCAAGTTTGTTTGTGGCTACCATCCTAACAAAAACCCATTCAATTTTCTGAATTTTCTTTTTGTTTGAAAATAACACATATTATCAAAGGTGACAATGCTTTGCACCGAGACAAAAACCTTTCAATTCATGTAGGCAGTAACCCCCAATGACTTGACTGATTTGAACGAATAATCAATGGATCGTCACCATGCATGCATTCATGGCGATGTAAAAGCTCACCCAATTTGACTAAACACACTGTCAATCAATGGAGTCACCCGATGACCATTTTCTTGCGTTGCTGATTGATGCGCCGGCCGATGTATTTGACGCTTTTGGGAATTGATTTCTAAGCTACGTATTGATTATGGCTACAAGCTTGTCCCTATATTAATTGTACGTAGTCGATCTTGCCGATCAGATTTGTCAACTTGGAACTGCATGCGGCTGGTTTTGTTCCGTTGCTTCTTCAAGAAATATATTATTTACTAATATTATAACGAAATACGCTTGTATATAAATACCAACGAGCCATCGTCTCAGATCCATCCCTCAAACAAACAAAAAACTACCAAGTTAGAAGAGAACATAATGATGATGATGATGGCGAGTGACTATTATTTCATCATCCCAATTAGTGTCGCAACCTTGATCACCATTCTTTCCATGATCATAATGAAAAGGACATTAATTAGTGTCGCTGCCGGCGGTGAGAGAACTCCACCAGGGCCATGGAAGATGCCGATCATCGGGAACCTCCACCAGCTGGCAACCGGCTCGTCCCTCCCACACCGCCGGCTAGCTGAGCTGGCCCGACAGTACGGTCCTCTGATGCAACTTCAGCTCGGCGAAATCCCCACGGTGATCGTGTCGTCGGCCGAATGGGCCAAGGAATTCACGCAAACCCACGACCTCAGCTTCGCCAGCAGGCCCTTCATCCCCGCGGCCAACATCATCTTCTACGGCGGCAGAGACATCGGGTTTTCCCCTCACGGGCCCTACTGGACAAAGATGAGAAAGATTGTCGCCATGGAGCTTCTTAGCGCCAAACGTACCAAGATGTTGCGGCCCATCATGGAGGAAGAGATTTCTAAGCTCGTGGGCTCGATAGCCACGGAGTCAAGTGTCAACCTAAGCGAAATGATGCTCTCTCTAGGCTACTCCATCACTTGCCGTGCCGCCTTCGGCAAGGTACATAAGCAAGCGGGAGTTTTCTTGCCGCTTATGGAAGAGTTCATGAAGATTCTCGGAGGGTTCAGCCTTGGCGACCTCTTCCCTTCGAGCAACTTGTTGCGCCTACTCGTTACCAACGCGGCCGAGAGAAAGTTGAAGAAGGTTCACTCGGAGGCCGATGCTATCATGGAAACTATAATCAAAGACCGTGTAGCTAAGAGATCAGCTGGAAACAACGATGATGATGATGATCAAGATCAAGATCAAGATCTTCTTGGCGTTCTTCTGGACCTTAAAGACAACAACGCTCTTGGCTTCACTGAGATTAAAGCTGTCATCCTCGTAAGTCGTCACACATTAGTTAGATTTACTGTGTATTGATTTACTGATGATGACATGTAATATGGCAGGACATGTTCCTTGCTGGATCCGAGACGGCGACTATCAGTGTCGAATGGGCGATGTCTGAACTCATGAAGAACCCAAGAATTATGGAGAAAGCGCAAAGAGAGGTGAGACAAGTTTTTCATGGAGAAGGCTTAGTTGACGAGGCATCTATTGAACAACTGCCGTACCTAAAATTAGTTCTGAAGGAAACTTTGAGGCTTCATCCTCCTGGTCCATTGGCTATGCCAAGAGAAAATAAGGAGACAACGATGGTCAATGGATATAAGATTTCGGCAAGGACAAGGGTCTTTGTCAATCTGTGGGCGATCAGTAGAGATCCGCGTCATTGGACTCAGCCCGAAGTCTTTGAACCTGAGAGGTTCCTGGATAGCTCAGTCGACTTCAGGGGAGTGGATTTTCATTACCTCCCGTTCGGAGCTGGAAGACGCATATGTCCGGGTATACATTACGGGATCACTTTGGTTCATATTGCCCTCGCCAATTTAATCTATCATTTTGATTGGAAGCTCCCTCAACAAATGAAGCCCGAGGACCTGGACATGTCTGAAAGATATGGCATTGAAGTGAAGAGACTACACAATTTAATCCTTATTCCCACCCCATATATACCGCCCCAAATAAACTAGCTCAGCCTGCCTTCATGTATAGAGGCAAATGGTGTGTTTCATTTTCTTTGTGGTTGAAATAATCTCACACATGCAGTCATCTGTGTGAGAGATAATTAAGCTGTCATATGTGGACATGCATAGTACAGTAGGTGAGATGAAATGTGACAGAACTTATATTGTCTTGTGGAAGTTGTTACCAAATAAAACTAAAAAATTTAAGACGTGTCAGAAAAGTTTGGCATCGAAGTGACGAGGCAAAACAATTTGTTCCTCAATTTCACTGCATGCCACCCCAAAAATACTAGCTAAGCCCAGCCTCATATGGATCCTACATTCATTACCAAAGGAATATACATCAATGGTGTAAAGAAAAGAAAAGAAGACACAAAGAAAAGAAGGGAAAGAGAAGGCTAAAAACACATGGTCATACAAGAGGCCAATACAGATGACACAACCAGCACAACGTCCTAAGTAGGGCTGGCTATTTGGTCCGGGTTTTTTTGGTTTTACCCGAAACCGGATCGTATGACCCGGATTGAGACCGGACCGGGACTGAATAGTAAACAATCCAATCTAATCTTTGAGCTTAGATTTGCGGTAAAAAAACCGTTCGGGACCGGATCGAAAACTGGATAAAGACCGGATAAGAGAGCTCAACACCCAAAACTTAAGGGTAATTTGCATAAACGGTCACAAACTTTTGCACTTAGTACAAAACTTAACCAACTCCTCACCCTTTCAGGCCTTAGGCCACTTAAATCCCCACAAGCTCAATATAAAATCAAGACCGAATTGGGACCGGACCAGATCAAGACCGGTCTGTATCCTATCCAATCTTTGATTCTTATATTTTCAAAAAGACCGGACTGGACCGGATCAATTTGGGCCAATTTAACCGGACCGGACCGTATAGCCACCCCTAGTCCTAAGGAGGAAATCTGCAACAAATAGGGGCGGCGGCAGGATTTGAAAGTAGAGGGGCTAAATTTTTCTTACGAGTATTGCAAATAAGAAAACGAGAATAAAATAAATTCGGAAAAATTAATTAAGAATATCTCTGATTATAAACACACAATATATTTGAGATAATTAGAATAAGTCAAAAATAGAATTCAAACTCAACTTTCTACTACGTTGTGTTCAATAGTCAAGTTAATTACATAAAAAAGTTAAAAGTTATTTTAATGTGTAGCATATTCTTCAATATACTTATAACTAAAAATATGAATGTTCACTTCATTAGTAATGTTTGAAAAAATTTAAACAATTATATCCGTGACCATGAACTTAGTTTACTTAGAACTCCATTTGTCGTAATTTGAACCTATAGCAATTAGAACATATTTGTCGTAATTGGAACTAATGACACATGCGTCGATCTTATACTGCTCTGGTGTTGGAACATGGTCTTCCTTCGCAAATATGATTTTAGCAATACCATATGTATTTAGCAATTTAGTTTGTGGAGTCGTACGTATTTTGCTTAATTAGCTTACCAGCCATCTAAGAAAATAAGGACGAGCCATGTGTTATATTTCTTAGATTATGACGATAAGAACTTAAATTAAAGAACCACATAGACAATGTACAAATTCAAAAAAGACACAAGGAGAAGAGCTCATTCTCATTATTTATGAGAATAAGGATCATTGGTTAGTGGCGGATCCAGGGGTGGACACCCTGGGCCACGGCTCAGCCCTCCTCTGGATCCGAAGCTAGTATAGTCCTTATGGTTTTTACGAATTGATTTGTCTAGTGTTGATATTGCTCGTTTTCAATGGCTACCGCCTATCAGGAAGAGAACATTTTCAACAATAAAACATGTGAAAACTTATTTGTGCAACAAAATCAACGATGAATTTCTCGCCGATTGCTTTACCATTTTATTTGAAAGAAAGTATGCTATTGTTACGAATGTAAACTCCACTATTGATGAATTCACTAATCGCTATATTAAAACACCGTCGTGTATAATTGACATTATAAAAATTGGGTGATGACTGATGTACGTCAGGCGTATAGTATACGTCAGGTGATCTAGCCGTTAGATGTAGCTAGATGAGCTACGACCGATCTCAACGGTCAATTTTTATTTTTCATTAAATCAAACTTCGGGTTAGGGTTTAGAAAATCGGTGACTGGGGTTTATCCATTGAAGGTTAGGGTATAGTATCATACCCCAAACTCGATTTAATTCATGATCTAGATAGAGATATCTCACTAGTAGTACCTGACGTATAGTATACGTCTGACGTACGCCAGTCTGACCCATAAAAATTGTGGTTATTATATTTTTTTAAGGTATATAATTTTATAATAAAATATAACCCAATATTCTACTATATTCTGTATCTGTTGCTGTCCTTAGTCAAAGAGAAAAACTAAACAAAGAAAAGGGCAAGAGACAGCCCCAACAACAGGTCAAAATATCGACCAGTAGAACCTAGGACAAACACAAAACTATTGTAACATACACACATGGGGAAAAAAAAAATACTCAGCCAAAACCATATGAGCAAAGCAAGTAAACAACCCTTCAGCTTGGGTTCCCTCAATCTTGGAGGTTGCTTGTAGGCTTGTAGCCACTGAACCATGCAGATGCAGTAATGATGTTGAGACTAATTGCTTTACTCGTCTGAGCTCTTCCTTCAAAGATTCTGAAATTTCTTTCTTTCCACAAGAACCAACAAATTGCATGTAGAGCATTGAAACTAAACCAGGTTTTATTAAATGTGATTGATTTCATGTGGTGGGATGGATATATATGGGCAACATTTCAAGTTTCAAATTATATTAAATAAAATACTGTGTTCCCTGAGTAGTGTAGACCGAGTTTAGCTAGTTTATCTGGGATGATATGGTGTGGGGATGAGTATTAAATGAGTGCGGATCTGGTGACTAAGGGGGGGTGCTTAGTCACTTGACTAAGCCCCTCCTAGCCATTAGATCTGGACACTTCAATCCAATGGTTAAAAAGTGGGAAGGGCTATTTAATTAATGGCAGGGGTAGTTTGGGTATTATGGAAAATTACGAAGTATACAAACCGGATTTACAATTAGTACAAACCATACAAACATACGAACAGTACAAACTAGAGTGACAAAACATACAAACAGATTTACAAACATTACAAACGTATGAACTGTACAAACAATACAAACTAGACTGACAAACAATACAAACCATACAAAACGAAAAAACAACCGGGTTGACTTTGGAGGCTCCATCCCTATATAGAGGGGCTCCTTCCAAAAGTCAACCCGGGTGTTTTTTAGACATACAAACAGTACGAACATGGTGGGCAAAAATGACAAACTAGACCGACAATCCATACGAACGGAAAAAAACACCCGGGTTGACTTTGGAGGCTCCATCCCTATATAGAGGGGCTCCTTCCCAAAGTCAACTCGGGTGTTTTTTAGACATAAAAAACATTACGAACATGGTGCACAAAAATGACAAAGTTTACAAACATGGTGCACAAAAATAACAAAGTTTACAAACATTACAAAAAAACCCGACAAACATTACAAAATAACAAAACATACAAACATTACAAAATATGTCAACAAACATCACAAAGTTAACACTGTCGCCGGGAAATTCTTCTCCGGCGACGATGTTCGCCGGAAAAATTTTCCGATCAGAAAATTTTCGGACCAAAAATCTCTCTCTCTCTCTCTCTCTCTCTCTGGAATGGGGGATGGAATAAATGGCGCCCATCTCTCTTTGGGGAATGAAATAAATGGCGCCCAGGGGAACGGAATAATGGCGACGGCGGAAATTCTTTTTTCGGAAATTCTCCGGCGGCGGCGCACCGAGAGGGGAAGCTGGGGAGGCGACCGAGAGGGGAAGCTGGGGAGGGACGCACACTTTTTTTTAATTAAAAATTAAAAGTAAATACCAAAATTACTATATTACCCTTCATTAAATTAGACTAATAAGAACCCTTAGATTTTAATGAGGTTGAGTGGCTGAGATTCACTTAGCCATGTGACTAAGGGGACCCCCCTTAGTCACCTGATCTCAAGCCCGTATTAAATTATTTTGCCTCTTCACTTCGATGCCAAATCTTTCCCTCATGTCCAAATCTTCTGGTTTCATTTGGTGAGGAAGCTTCCAGTCGAAATGATAGATCAAATTGGCAAGAGAAAGATAAGCCAAAGCGAGCCCATAATGCATTCCCGGACACATCCGTCGTCCAGCCCCGAATGGGAGGTAATGGAAATCCGTTCCCCTGAAATCAACGGAGCTGTTGAGGAACCTCTCGGGTTCAAAGACTTCGGGTTGGGCCCAATGGTGCGGATCTCTGTTGATGGCCCATAGATTGACGAAGACCCTTGTCTTTGCCGGTATTTTATATCCATTGACCACAATTGTCTCCTTGCTTTCTCTTGGAATGGCCAAAGGACCAGGAGGATGCAGTCTCAAAGTTTCTTTTAGAACTAATTGCAGATATTGTAGTCGATCGATAGATGCCTCGTCAACCACACCTTTCCCATTAAAAACTTTCCTCACTTCTCTTTGCGCTTTCTCCATAACTCTCGGATGCTTCATGAGTTCAGACATTGCCCATTCGACGGTAATGGTCCACGTATCAGATCCAGCCAAAAACATGTCCTGCAATAATATTATATGTCATCGTCATGAGATCCATCAATACACAATTAATCGAATTAACAAGTGACTTACGAGGATGACAGCTTTAATCTCAGTGAAGCCCAAGTCGTCAGTGTCTTTAAGATTGAGAAGAACACCAAGAAGATCTTCATCGTCGTTTCCACCAGCTGCCACTGTTGATGATCTCTTAGCTAAACGGTCGTTGATTATAGTTTCCATGATAGCATCGGCCGCCGAGTGAACCTTCTTCAGCTTTCTCTCGGCTGCGTTTGCAACGAGTAGGCGCAGCAAGTTACTTGAAGGGAAGAGGTCGACAAGGCTGAACCCTCCCAGCATCTTCATGAACTGTTTGATAAACGGCAAGAAAACTTCCTCTTGCTTTTGGATCTTGCCAAAG